TATGCTAACTTTAAGTATATATATTTTTCTTATAAAATAGTCTAGACAGAATTGAGGTAATTTCACATTTTTCGATAATAATATAAAATATTTTAATACTTTCACATATGTTATATAATAGTCTACGTATTCTTAATGTCTTTTGGTTGTAACATTGTTAACACATATAATATTAGATACTTTTAAACATATTTAGATAATTTTTTTACTCATTTTTTGATATCTATGTGCATAAAAAGAGAATAAGATTTATAAAAGATTTTCCGGCAATATACTAAATGTTAGATAAAAAATCTCATTTTATTTGTTATATAATATTTCGAGTTGCATTAATTTTGATTTGTATGTTTAAACTTGATAAATTAAGCGTATGAAAAGGAACATACGAATTACGGTAAGGATTTAAAAAATAAAAAAATAAATCTAATTTTTTTAATATTTTCTACTAACTTCTAAACGAATTTATGTCATAATTCGTCATAATTTTCCCACATCATGTCAATATTAATTTTATATATACTAGGCAAAAGGTAAATCATTATCTCAATATTTATTCTATATATTCTAAGTAAATCTTCTCATCTATCTCAACGGTCCGCAGGTAGTATTTCATATTTTTCTATTCATAATCAAATATATCAAAGCTTTACAAATTTTACTTCACAAAGAAAGTGTTCAATAATTTATATTTTTTTCCCTTCTTTGCAATCCATTTATTTTTGTTACATATATATAAATTATATTATTTTTAATATTTCACACGTTAAACATTTTAGGAATATATACCATCCCGTGCATCGCACGGGCTACGCGCTAGTGGTTCAAAAGAAGACTTGGAAAAAAGTTGATAGTTTGAAGTGGCAATTAGAGTACTATTCCACCTAACAATTTAGACCTTCTTCCACTCTTCCTCCGACCAATTTCTCAAGTTCTACATGATAGATAAACCTTGAACATAAAGACATTGGATATGAGTTCAACTATCATCAACAGAAGACCCCATATATACATTTCAGTATAAATAATCCTCAAGAACCACATGATAACAACACATTTACCTATTTACTGAAATTATCAAGAACCATGAGAAATAAACATTGACTATTTAGCCCCATTAGCATCTTTGGCTAGCTAATATAGATTTCACATTAGCAAAGATTTTAGAGACCACATGACAGAGATGATTCTGAGCTCCATCACCATCTAAAGACAAAAACAAGACATTATCTAAACACTATTCTCCAATCTCCACCTTTGGTTTAAATCAGATGCAGTTCCTAAATGCATACACTAACATCTTTGTTAGTTGCTCTTCTATAAATGCTTTAAATAACTTAAGCAAATAGCTTCACTTGTCTGAATCGTAATACTCATTCATTTAAAGTTTTCGGAAAGTTTATGATTATAACCTTGAACCCACCTTCACTAGCCTTTCAAACTCTCACCACTAAGACACTTGACTCTCAAACAGATTTTATCAGTGACATCTTACACAGCACCTTCAGTACCTTTCTGGTCCATGTGTGTTTTCAGAATTCGAGTCATAATTTTCTGGTTTTTCCCAAGTTTTCCTCTAAAAATCCCTACACAGAATTCAAGTCATCTAGAGGGGTCAGTCAAGAAAAGGGAATCTCATCATCATGAGCATATATATCATTGCAGGTCAGCACAATGAACTTAAACCCCTTTCTCTAAAACTAAGGCAATCATTTAACATATTAAGAAAACAGAATCCACGCCAAACATCACAGATATAAATTCAGAATTCTCTCAGTCAAAAATCCCATGAACTTCAACACCTTCAGTTAAGATGTAATAAAAGCACTAAACCGAGTGGCATCACAAACGCATTTAGACAGCTATGTGACAACTTCATAATTATATAGATCTGTCAAATTTTGTTGAGGGGAATTTGCACTCAAGAAGCATGAGTTGGTTTTCCTACTCAGGTTGTAATAGCCTTTTCTAACAGATCTTCTGGCATGTCAGGTACTATGCATATCTAGTTCTGAATTTCCAGCATCCCAATATTATTTCAATCTGGTTAAATGTTCTTCTCCAAAGGAATTAAAAATCCAATCTTTCTAATTAAGCCCCTCATAAAATTTATGGAAAAATCGAAGAACATTGAGCAATCGAATTCCAAGTAAAAGGCTTTGAACATCGACACTCCATGGAATAATTCGAGTACCTGACGATACCTGCTCGACTGAAGATAAAATCAGTTTGTTGGTCTCCTCCTTCTGCTCGATTGAAGATAAAATTCTCCAGGAATTGCACTTGTTGCACTCGATTGAAGATGAAATTCTCCAGAAACTGTTCGCGTGCTGAGAAGTAGGGTTCTTCTCTTCTTGTTCTTAGTCAGTTTTTACATAATAAACTTGTTCCAATTCTAACACAACTGCCTTTTACATAATAAACTTGTTCCAATTCTATAACCCATTCTGACTTTTTTTTTTTTAAATGAACTTCATAAGCATCAAATGTTACATTGCATACAACACAACACGCTACACAAGCTTGAAACACAACCTCCACAAACATGCATTTCACTCCATTACAGATTTCACAATTCAAATAAACAGTGACCAACTAAAAAAGGGATGACAAATTGCACAATTACAACAAAGTCAATATCTTTTACTAATTGCAAAAAACATTTAATGACTAGACATTGCAGCCTTCCCTGTTCAACACCATATTCATAAAACATTCAAGTTTCGATTTCTCCAGCCATTTCATTCAGCAAATTCTTACCTTCACCATTTCCATGATCACTTGTTGCATTCTCTTCTTCCAAGTCGGCCTTATTAACTTCTTGACGGCCTGTACTGCTTTCTTCTTTCACGAGGCCATAGCTAACCAACAGCTTCTTCCACTTTACTTCCCCATTCAAGTGCTCGTGTCTTTGCATGTACTTCTTGAACTCGAGTCGGATATTACGAACGGGCTAAGATCAAATTTCCTCAAATGTAAGCAAATCACCACAAATATGGATAACTAAAACATAATTAACTCCCGTTAAGCCTAATTACAAAAAACCTTCCACTTGTTAACTCAATATTCCAGACACGCCCCTTGAGCTCTTTGCTTACCCTTTCTATGATTTTTAATTAGCACAAACTCAGTTGTTTTACGTTATCCACACAAAGATTTACCTCTGCCTGGCAATCAAATGCCAGCTGGAAGAAAACAGCAGAAACTGAGTGTTTCCCCACAGTTTCTGCCAATCTGATCTGAGAGAGCCAATATGTTGAGGTTTCGAGCCTGTCAAACCTGCATTTGCTGCATTTCTCTGCACTGTGAAAAGGTGTAACCGAAAGCCTTGGCTTGGACTGAAAAGTGGGTGATTTTGCTGGTGTTTGGGGCTCTACGCCAGAAAGTTCTCCATTTCTTTCGTTTTCTTGAAAACACACGCTTTTCTTCTTGGGTATTAACGGGCTTTTTCGCCCGGACGAGTCCTTAATAGATTGTGAAGGTTTTGCTACCTTTTTCTGCATGTCCGTTTTTCCTCTTGTGGGTGCTGTTTTTGGAGGTATGTTGGGGTTTCGGGCCGTTCCAAATACTCGTTTTTCACTGAAACGAACCGAAACAGGAGGGAGAAAAATTATGAATGGTGATGATAAAGATTATCTTTTGACAAGTCGTTGAGGAATAATGACAAACAGTTTGTGGGCAGGGGACACATTTTTTTACCTTTGAACGAGAGGTCCAACCTTGTTGATTTTGGAGGCTTGTGGGATTTTCCTGGTTGGTTTAAGCTTCATATATTTAACTGCAAATTTTCATGAGATTTCAATAAGTAAACTTCAGTGTCTCAAAGGAATAGTATGAATAAAAAAATAAAATAAAAACTATAATTCAAAAAGGAAAAGAACCTGGAAAGGGACTGGGATGGAGATCCATTGAGAAGAAAACCCAGACAAAAGAAGAGAATGGATGGAGGAGGTCCGGAGCTGAAAGAATATTTCTGATTTGAGATTCTGTTTTTCTCGTATTGTATTTGGAAAGGAAGCGTGTTCAAAAAGGAGGAAGGGCGGGAACAGTTTTTGCAAACTGCTTTTGTACGCTCCTCCACGCTTTTCTTGTCCCTGAGCCCGCGTTTGCTTTTCAGGATAATCCCGCGTTTGGTTTAAAGGATAACAGCCCGTTTGAATCCCACTGGCGCGGTATTAAAACCTATGTTATCCTGCTTTAATGTGTGTTTGAACTATATGTCTTTCACTATGGGATGTTGTTATGTCTTTTGACCTACATGGGATGTTGGTATGTGTTTTGAACTATGAGATGTTGGATGTTGTGCATTTTGAAAACTATGGTATTCAGAACATTGATGTTTGATTAATTATTTTGAATTGCTATGTATGTTGTTGTGGCTATTTATGTATGCGGGAACCTTTATGATGATTACTGAATCTTCTTGTTGATTTTGATATCGGTTTAGCCTTCGAAACAGGTGTATTAAAACTTGTTTTTACTAGTTTCCTTCTTGTTGATTCTGATATGCAATGCTACAACTTATTAGACTCTGGTGGTGGTTGTACCAAGTTTCCACGTGGTAATTTTGCAAGTTGGATTTTAGCTGATGACCATCTATGCTTATTTATTCATACCTGAATAAATACCAAATTATATTGCAGACGACAGTGTGTGTCAAGCATCAACATACCGGAGTCCTTTTTTTGTTTGTTTGTTTGTTTGTTCATTTATTTATTTGTCTGTTGAAGTGTGTCTTTCTTATTATATTCTCAGTACGACCTCTAGATTTGCAGGGCACATCAATAATCAGTATAAGAGCATCTCCAGTGCACTGTTTTTAAGTGCAAAAAATAAGGGTCATGTCATTATTGTAGACAATGTCTTCATATATATCTCTTCAATGGACACAGTTATGATCCCATTATTTTTGACGTGGCTTAACAGTAGTCAAACACACTGTGTGAAATGAGAAAGTGCATTTGACGGTGTGACTCAGAAAAAAAAACTTCCCAAAAACTCTAGAATACGGGAACAACTGGAAAAGAGGGAAAAATTCGCGGCAAAAATTGAGGGAAAAATTCGCGGTGAAAAACTGAAGGAACACTGCGGTATCTGAAAGGCAATTGAAGGGAGAAACAAAATTTGTGTAGATTTGGGTTTCATTTCAGAACAATGAATCAAGATTCAACAAGGTAAATGATGAAATTTTTCAATTTCTTTGAGAAAAGTTGTGTTGCAACTTTAATGGCTAGGGTTATTGTTGTAAGTATTTTTACCGGAGTAGAATCGAGAGATTCGAACACCGGGTCGTGTCTCAAGGAAGGTTAGCCGGATTATCTTGTACGTATATTCAATCACAAAAAGAGAAATTAAATCCTAAACACTCTAATTCAATTGATTGGTTTGAATTATCAACTATGCGATTAACACTAATGGTGCTCAAACGAGAAAGTCCAATTTAGCACTCCAGAAACACAATTCAAAGAATGATAAGAATGACTAGGGTGTCGGGGACAATCGTTTCCGGTTCTCAATACATTAAACGACAATCAATCACTCGGCCAAAGGACACGAAAAACGCACTCATTCAGAGATTCATCCTCAATAACTCACATAACAAGAGAACAAACATAAATGAACAATTATCGAATCAATCAGCACGTAGACAATACGTCTCCGAACAAGTCTATTCTAAACGAGCCTAGATCAATCGATCCCTCCCCTTTCGGTTCTAAGGATCGATTTAGTGGATTAAAAAGGTGATCAATCAATTCAACCCTAGATTTAGCACAACTCGAATAGATTGAGCAATCAATATTCATTCAAACAAAATTGAATCGGAACAATTATCCCCTAGCCCTAGTTAACGAATTTAGCTACTCATCACAAGTCCAACATCAACATTCATATGAAGCAAAGACATATCACTCATCAATGAAATAAGAGAGAAACTTACGATTAATATGAATCCAATGTTGAAGAAACAAGGAGCAATCCAAATTTAAGAGTTGAATCTTGGTGTTTTCACAATCCAAGATCAAATTCTATCAAAACTAAGAGAAATACTTGTTCTGGAGTGAATAAAAACGAGAGAGTCTAAACCTAGGTGAAGGAATGAGTGAAAAACTGAACAAAATCGCAACATAAAAATTCTGCTGTCGCGACCTCCGCGGCCGCGACTTAGCCCTCCGCGGCCGCGGCGAACAACATCTCGCGGCCGCGACCGTCTCCGCGGCCGCGACCTCCCCGAGCCAGAAATTGGAACTTTTGTGCATCTCGCGGCCGCGACTTCCTCTTCTCCGCGGCCGCGGTGAAGGATTTCAGCACATCGTGTTTTCGGTTCGTCTTCTCGCATCCGGACTCGGAATTTGATCCCGTCTTCTCCAACACGACCCCAACTCATCCATCTAGACACTAGACCTCGCATAGCCATGCACCGAGCCACCAAACCTGCACATCACCACAGACAAGAAATACGGAAAACCGGGAAAAACGAACAAAAAGACCAAAAACGTCTAAAACAAAGGATAAGTACGAGACGACTCGAAACGGACCAAAAACCAAAGAAAAATACCTAAGTAGGGGAAAATCAAGCATGAAATAAAGAAGAAAAACATGACAAAAGTGGAACGAACAACTCCCCCACACTAAAACCTTTGTTCGTCCCGAACAAAAAGAAAAGAAAGGGAAAGAAAAACAAACAGACGAGCAAGGACAACGGTTCAAGCAAGACTACTCTCAAATCAATCAATTAAGCCAAGAAGAATTCAAATGATCACAAGCACACACCTCAACTATTAGCTTGGCCATTGTGAATGACATCAACTCTCGAGTACAGAAGTGCATCAATTATGCCTCACTCAATTTCTTTTTTTTTTTCTTTTTTTTCAAATATCACTGGGTACACTCAAATTGGTCAACAATCGAATCAATCGTAAATTTTGCCTATCGTCTAACTCCTACTATAAAACAATCAAATTCGTGAAACAATGAATCAAGAGGACTTTAAGGGTTGTAACGTAGGCTCTTTGGACCAGGTAGGAAAAATATAGGCTAACTGGCTAAATAAAAATCAACTCAACTCAATCAGATAACCGTAATCATGAACTTTTCCGGCTACTGACACCAACCGATTCCTCCCACTACTCCAAGTCAACCTATTACCCACTTATTCAACATTTCCATTATTTTTTATACNTGTTTTTTTATTTTTTTTTTTTTACGATATACCAGCGCAAATCACCTCCCAATCCACACACGTAACTCCACGATATAATCGTCACGAGGTAAGAGAAAGAAAATCAATAAGGCTCAAAAGGGGTGACTAGCGGCATTATTCTCAGGAAAAAGAAAAGGGAAGGGAAAGACAAAGAATGCCTCAATCATATTCACGTTCACAAATCCAGTTATTTTATTTCATAGCAGACTCAAGGAAAATTCTAATTGATAACGATTCCGACCAAAACTCACAAGAAAAGAAATGAATGTGGCTCAAAGCCTCACAAGGTAAAATAAATGTCAACAAAACAACCAAGCCAAATCGTCGAAATGTGACACTCATTCTCATCATCACAACTTCCTAACTCAATCAACCAATCATTAACTAGTCTTACAATATACCAAAGTCCAAGCTCACAACGACACCACAAATAATCCTAAAAACTATACTGGATCACCACGCAATAGAAAAGAAATAACGAAATAAACGCAATCCTAAAAGGAAAAACTAGACCTGGTCAACCACATAATCACGTAAAACTCCCCCACACTTAAAGCCAGACAATGTCCCCATTGTCGAGTCGCGGTGAAGGAGAGTTAGACCATATAACAGACCAACGGAAAAACGAAAACAAAGAAGCCGTACACAAATAAAAAGAGAAAGGGAAAAAGAGAACATACAAAGCACAGTGACAAGTCACTGTGCATCCGGAGGTGATGGTGGCTGGTGAGGGTGACTGGGACCCGAACCCCAACGGGTGTCCCACTGAGTGAAACGCTGGTCCCAGCTGTTCATCCGAGCGTCCTGCTGGTCCTGCCGCTCGCGGATGGACTGGAGGCCGCCAGCGAAGGTGTCAAACTGCGTACCCATCTGAGTCCAGTGGGTCTGCTGCTGGGTCTCCCACTGGTCCCATCGAGTGTTCTACTGTGTCTCCCAGCTGGTCCACTGCGTGGTCTGTCGGCTCTCGAGGGCAGCCCATCTGCTGTCCTGGGCGTCAAAGCGATCGTGGATAGAGCGGATGTCGGCTGTGTACTGAGTCTGAAATGTGGACCACCATTCCGGTGGCTACTGCGGGGGAAACTCCGGGTGAGAGTTCGGCGCCGGCGTCCATTCGGGTGGAGGTGGAAGTAAATGGTCCTCGTCGATATGCATCTGCTCATGCTCGCCGCCCTCCGTCGGATGCCGAGACGACCCTGCCGGATCGGAATTAGGCGGACCCTGCTGGAGCTTTTTGAAATAGGTGTCGTAGGCGGTGCGCTGTGTGTACTCCTTAGCCGTAGTCCGGTTCCGAACAAGGTCGGCCTGCTTGAGCTCGTTGTAGTTGAGACATCGCATCTCAGACCTCTCCTGAAGCGCTATCTCTCCATGTAATCTGTAGGCTTCAGGGGTGATGTCAAAATGGTTAGCGAGTGCGGTAACAAAGTGACCAAGTGCCGGTAGTCCACGCCGAGTGAGGGCAATCTCCTGTAAGGAGTTCGATAAGCCCGTTGGACATGCCGGCAGAATCCCAAGTCGTATGTGGGGAGAGTTCGGCCCAACTCTTCTTGGCGTCGAAGTCGAGGGCCTTGCTTCGTGTACCGAAGAAATTGAAACCGCACACGTCCTTCATCACCGCATTATCCACCACGAGGTCTTTCCCCTTAAGCCGACAAGTGAAGTGCTCGTTCCCATCGGCGAGAACGAATGTGCTAAAGAACTCGAGCATGAGGGTACGATGTGAGCGCTCCTCTAATTTGGCGTAGTCGGTGAGGTTCAAAACCTTGAGGTACTTCATCACGTCGTCCAGAATACCCAAATCGTTCAAGAGGTCCCAGTCCACCGCCTTCGGTCTCACGACCTCCTTTTGCGAGAGTCGGGCATAAATCTCGCTCTCCTTCCGAGAATAAATCGGGAACGGAGCCCCGTATTGGTCCGAAAGATCATCTCTTTCACCTTCCGGAGGGGCATCTCGAGAGGAGGATTCGCCTGCTTGACGCTTCCTAGGCGGTTCCTGAGTAGTTTTCTTCTTGGTGGGACGAAACGGATTCTTGCCCATTTGAACGGTCTATCGGGCAATATGTCGAACACTTGGCGTGCGGAACTTCGAACTAAAAACTTGGGAATAATACGAAATGGATCAATCCCGGAGTTGGCCTCCTCACGCCACAACAATAACCAAACGCAAAGTATAGGAAGCTATCGGTACCTTTTCGCGCGAATTCGAACCCAAAACGAACAATCCACGAGCAAGGTAGGAATGACAAATGGGACGGAATAAGAACCGCCGGTGCTCGTGGTCGTGGGCCGCCGGATGACTGAAGAGGGTCGTGGTCGGAGGACGTTGCCGTGGGTAGGTCGTCGGAGAGCGCGGAATGCCGGAGGTTGAACGGAATTGGTGGTGAATTCGCGGCTAGGGTTCGGAGGGTGGAAATCCCGCGCGTGGTTTGCAAGAGAATGGAGGGTGATTGTGTCGCCGGAAATCGCGGGATGCCGGAGGGACGTCGCCGGAGGGCGGTTAATCGGCGATGGTCGGCGGTTGGTCGGAGGTGAAGTGCAGTGGAGTCGTCGCGTTGTTCGTTCGAAATTGGTGAGAGATGGGGTTATGTGTGCAAAGAGGGAACCACGGGATTAAAACGTGTAATCGCGGTAGCCGCGGCCGCGACATCCCCCGCGGCCGCGAGAATTTAAGCGCAGAAATGGGAGTCTTGCGAACGACACAACGCCGCGGCCGCGGCGATGAAATCTCTCGCGGCCGCGACTCGACTCCGCGGTCGCGAGAATTCTCCGAGGCCGCGAACTTCCGCACGCAGGACTGCCAACCCCTCGACCAAAAAAATTGTCGCTGCGGCCTTGGTGAACAATGTAGTCGCGGCCGCGACGCTCCTCCGCGGTCGCGGGATACCTCCGAGGCCGCAAAAATTCTCCTGCAGAAATCAAACACGGCTCATCAGAAAATGGTCTCCGCGGCCGCGGTTAAGAAATGCCTCGCGGCCGCGACGTCAATTTATATATATATATATATATATATATATATATATAAATATAGATAAATATATATATAAATATACAAAAAGTACAAGAATGGGCTCGGTTTATCGTCGGGAGCTCGGCACTAGTCTGGATCAAGGATACAGTGGTTCGTCGAGACTGATAGTCTCGACATGATTCTTTTCGAACTCTCCTTCGAAATAAGGCTTGACCCTTTGTCCATTGACTACGAATAACTCGCCATTTGCTGGATTTCGAAGTTGAACAGCTCCAAGTGATAACACCTCATCGATAAGATACGGTCCGCTCCACCGTGATTTGAGCTTTCCCGGAAAGAGACGAAGTCGGGAGTTGAATAAGAGGACTTTCATACCAGGCACTAGGTTCTTCCGGACAATGGTCGAGTCGTGAAGCTTCTTGACTTTGTCCTTGTAAATTTTGGAGTTCTCGTAGGCCTCGTTCCTCAACTCTTCGAGTTCAGAAAGTTGCCACATCCGCTCTTGCCCGGCTGCATCAAGATCAAAATTCATCCGTTTTATCGCCCAAAATGCCTTGTGCTCGATCTCGACTGGAAGGTGGCACGCCTTTCCGTAGACGAGCCGGAACGGGCTCATCCCCAAGACTCCCTTGTAAGCTGTGCGTTGGGCCCACAGTGCATCATCAAGACGGTTGGACCAATCCTTTCTGGACGAGTTGACCGTCTTTTCCAGAATGGTTTTGATCTGCTTGTTGCTCGTTTCTGCCTGACCCGAAGTCTGTGGATGGTATGGGGTAGCCACCATATGTGAAATGCCGTATTTCTTCATCAGCTTCTCGAATATCCGGTTGCAAAAATGCTTGCCCCCGTCACTTGTTAGAGTAGGGTACCCGGCGTTCCAATCTGATTGGACGTATTCTACTTGTAAATACGATCTATTGGAATTATATTGTAAATAAGGCATTACTTTATCTTAAGAGTAAGCATTTATCTTATATTTGCACTTAAGATAAAATCCCTAGATCACTTATGGTTATAAGGTATGGTTGCGCATAGAGATGGTGATCATGGAACATACCTTGAAAGCCGTGATCTTAAATACAGTTCCAAGTCGATGGATGTTTCGAGATGGGATATCGAATAATCCATAAAAGACTTGCACATAGTTTGTATGCTTGTTGGACAAGAATGTTGCATTCCATCAACATTAGCGTAAGACGTAAGTACATTTATGTGGGTGCTTGTTAGAGAACAAGTTCACTGAACATGACCGTATGAAAATTCTTAATGAAGAATTTATTCAGTCGAATAAGAATTTTCATGTTACAATAGTACATGACTAATCCTAAGACTTGAGGCACAATGGTAACTTTGTGCATATTACATTCTACTTTGATTTATCCTTTTGGTAGCTAGCACTATCGTTTAAAGGGATAAGTTGGGTATTATGTTAATATGTATGGAAGTTTGTTAGTGGCCAATAAAGGATTCGACACTTATGAAGATAAGTGAATTTCCTATGTGTTTCATAGTTATTAATCCAAAGTCCTTGGCCAAGGCAGAGATGAATAGTGATTCATAACCGGGTTAATAAACATGAAATAGAATCATAGTTATTAAGTCAATTTGGGTTTCGACAAAATCATACCCAAGACTTAATCGGGAAATTAGATGTCGAAAGGATTTTACATGTATGGAGTTGTAATCGGAATAGGTTTACTCGCTATTCACTTAATACTAGATTCATGCTACTTGCTAGGTGTTACCATGATATGTGGGTTCATAAATTAAAGGGTTAATTCATGAATAAGAGTTAATAAGATTTAACTCAAATTACAAAGTGTTGTAAACCCACTACTAGTATTAAGGTGAACCTAAAAGGTCACACTAATTATGAACAAAGGTAAAGATTGTATTTCTAATGGTTAGAATTAATTGATAAATATCTAATTTGATTAGATATCAATTAAAGGAATATATTAATCAATAAGATTGATTAATTACATTTTGGATATTACTTTAGTAATTAAGGTAATTACTAAATTAATAAAGTTGAATTTTAAAATAGGATTTTAAATTTCAAAAATCCAAAATAATAATAATATGATTATTATAATATTGGGAAAATGATATAATAATAAAGTCTTGAGAAAGATTCTCAAGATTTATTATCCAATTATTATTTATATCTTTAAATATGATTTAAGGATTAAAATAATAAATATGATTATAATAAAATGGTTGTTGATGGTTGTTTGAACTACTTAACATATCTTATTATTTTCAAAGTCAAAAGTTAGTAAATACTATTTAAATAAAATTTGATTTTATTTAATATTACTAAATGTTGATTATTTTATGCTAAAATGTTTAGTATAAATATATGCAAAATGGTTTTGCATTTAAGTGAAGTTTTTGATCCTAAATTTCTAAGTGTTAGAAAGAGAAGAAAGTGTTCTTCATAAAACTTCAAGAAAGAGTTCTTAAAATTCCCAAATAAAATTCATAAATATTCCTATACAAGAAAACCGAGTCTTTTCTACTAGCGAAGGAAAGTCGTCGGAACCGGGCTTCATAGGGTGGATACGTTTAGAGGGAAGACACTTGGATTCCTCTAGCGAGTAACCTCAAGTCGTTGAAGTTACAACCGGGAACCGATTCCCTCATCCATCATCAATAGTGAAGGAGTTCAAGACATTCGGTAAATATTTTTACTAGTATTTACTTTATAGTAACAAATCAAAATTTGTATATGATGCATGTTTTAAAGATGACGATCAGTTAATTCGCAATTAGTATGTACGGGTGTTGTATTTATACGATAAATACTTACTTTAAAAATTTTAAATTCCGCTGCGTACAGCCCGTACGGTACTATCGAACCCAACAGTGGTATCAGAGCCACGGTTATCGTCTTTAAAACAGATTTTGATTTGTTAAGACTTATGAGATAAGCAATATAATTAATTTTTTATATGATAAAAATATTAATTATAAAATTAAAAATCGTTTTTAAGCCACACGAGTCGTGTGACCTTGTCACACGAGTCGTGTGGCATGAAGAAAAATTTTGATTTTAGCTTCGTGATTTTCACACGAGTCGTGTGACCTTGTCACACGAGTCGTGTGAGCTCACACGAGTCGTGTGACGAGCCACACGAGTCGTGTGAGTCTGGGAAAAATTTTGATTTTCAATTCGTATTTTTCACACGAGTCGTGTGATAAGATCACACGGGTCGTGTGACCCTCACACGAGTCGTGTGACTCATAAATTGATATTTTATGTTCATTTCATTAGATGAATGTTTTAGGGATGATCATGAGCCTCATATTCATTATGTTTGAATGGATGTTTTCATTTTCAATATGATTGAATGAATGAATGGATGTTTAATTATGTTTTCAATATGATTGAAGAAATGTAATTTATCGAGACCTGCGAGTCTCTTGAGATGAAATTTGTAAAATTTTAAATTTTGTATCGTTAGAGATTAGATCAAGGTGGAGACCGTTCGATGACAAAGGCCCACGCATGTGTGGGTAATTTTACAAGTTGTAATCTCGAAGGCCTGTGCTTGTACGGGTAGATAGAATAAATGTAATAGAAGTAGTTCTACTATTTGTTTTATCACGTACATATGCATAGATCCATTTTGGCTCGAATGGATCGAATAGGAAAGGACATGATCATCCCACCATGCATTAGATGTATGTTAGGTTTATTTACGCTTTCGTTTCATTAGATGACTGAAACTGGTAAATAAACGTAAAGATGGTAATCGATGAGATCAAGGAACCCAAACGGATTAATTTGATTAATTCCATATCAAATCAATAATGGATAAAAATAAGTTGGAACTTATTAATCCAGGCCTTCCATCAAAAGTAGATGACATGAGATGCTACGATGTTTTATCATTGGCCACGAGTCGTGGGATGATTCTATGTCGAAAGCTGTGAACTCTATTAAATATATTGATATTCGTGAGACGGATTCCTCTTTGTGTTGGCCATGAGTCGTGGGACACTCTGGTGGGCCGTTATCATGAAAGTTTTGATGGGTTTGATTTGACACCGAGTAATATATATGGAGTCATAAAATTGAGGTATATAAGGAAAGGTGAGGCAAAACATCTTGAAGGTTGTATAGAGATACAATTGTCAAAAAGTTGACTACCGATAAAATTGTTTCATGGTGGCATCATAAAATTGGGACATGAAATATTTTTATTGGACTTCAAGCCCACTATGAAAATAATGATTTTCATAATTATAATGAGGTTCTAATTAAATTAGTGGGAGACATTTAATGTTAAAGACCTAATATTAAATGAATATAAATTCCATAGTCTAATTATTTTCTGCTTCGTTTGTTATTTTTGTAGATCAAACTACTAAAATGGCTAAGAATCCAATCGCGAGTATCCTTGATCATAATAAATTAACTGGTCCCAACTTCAATGATTGGTTGAGGAACCTAAAGATTGTTCTTCAGTCTGAGAAGCGAGAGTATGTTTTGGAAACAGCTCCTCCTCCTCCACCGGAGGATCAGACTGCTGAAGAGTATGGAGCCTACTTGCGTCATGTTGATGACAATCTCCAAGCTCGGTGCTACATGCTAGCATCAATGTCTAATGAGCTACAGAGACAGAACGAATTACTGAATAATGCTTCTGAAATCCTAACTCACCTGCAAGAGTTGTATGGTGATCGGACGCGACAAATTAGATATCAGATATCTAAAGAGCTTTTCAGGTGTCGTATGACCGAGGGCTCTTCAGTTCATGATCATGGACTGAAGATGATAGCTCTTGTGGAAAGACTCGAATCACTTGGAGTCATTATGGATAATGAACTCTATGTGGATTTATTGTTGCAATCTCTGCCAGCGTCATTCGATAACTTTGTCGTTAACTACAACATGCATAATATGGAAACTGATCTTCCAGGATTATTAAACATGTTGAAGACGGCTGAGTCCACCATTAAAAAGGACAAGCCGGTACTTCTTGTTGGATCCACTTCCGGATCAAAGGCTACTAAGTCTAAGAAAAGGAAGAGGAAGGGAAAGGTTCCCAATAAGCCCAACAAGAAGGCATATAATGATAAAGGGAAGAACAAACAGAAGGTTAATTCTCAGGCCGATCATGAATGTTTTCATTGTGGCAAAACTGGGCACTGGAAGAGGAACTGCAAGGAGTATCTTGCTAGTCTGAAAAGTTCAGGTATTTATTTTGTTGAAGTTAACTTGTCTGTTAACGATTCTTCTTGGGTATTGGATACCGGCTGTGGCTCACATATTTGCAATGATTTGCAGATGATGGCAAGAAGTAATATGCTAGATGGTGAAGAAACAATCCTAAGGATGGGCAATGGGGCAAGAGTTGCTGCTAAAGCTATTGGGACTGTTTATCTAGCATTGAATAATGATGTAAAGATTTGTCTATCAAACTGTTTGTATGTTCCGGATTTAATAAAAAACATTATTTCTATTCCAATATTGGATAAGGAAGGTTTTAAGTTTGTCATTGAAAATGGAAAATGTTCTATTTTCAAAGACACAACTTTTATTTATTCTGGAAATTTGACAAATGGGTTGTATACCATTACACCACAAAGTCCCATCCTAACCATTCAACAAAATAAAAGGAAATTAGATAATCATAGTTCATTCACAATTTGGCATGCTAGATTAGGTCATATATCCGAAAAACGGATTCACAAATTGGGACCTAAACTCGACCTTAGGGGAGAGGATAGGTTGCCTACATGTGAGTCATGTCTTAAAGGTAAAATGACTAAATCACCATTTGTTGGACAAGTGGAGCGAGCTAAAGGTTTGTTGGATTTGATCCATACAGATGTTTGTGGACCACTAAACGTTAGTGCAATGGGGAACTATCACTATTTCATAACCTTCACTGATGATTATTCACGGTATGGTTATGTTTACCTATTGAGGTACAAATCTGAAGTATTTGAAAAGTTCAAAGAATTCAGAAATGAAGTGGAGAAACAAATTGGTAGAAATATTAAAGTTCTTCGATCAGATCGAGGAGGTGAATATTTGACTAATGAGTTTCTTGATTATTTAAAAGATAATGGGATTGTCTCACAGTGGACGCCTCCTGGAACTCCACAACTCAATGGGGTTTCAGAAAGGAGGAATCGAACATTGTTGGACATGGTTCGATCGATGATGAGTACCACTGATCTACCTCTTTCATTCTGGGGCTATGCCTTAGAAACAGCAGCATATATTTTGAATAGAGTGCCAAGTAAAGCTGTACCCAGCACACCTTATGAGATATGGTGTGGTAAATCACCCTCATACAAATATTTACGAGTATGGGGTTGTACTGCTTATGTAAAGCAGTTAGTGGGAGGTAAGTTGGATATGAGATCCATCTTATGTAAATTTGTGGGGTATCCTAGAGAGTCTATTGGATACTATTTCTATGATCCCTCTGAACAAAAGGTGTTTGTTTCGAGGAATGCTGTATTCTTAGAGAAAGATTTTATCTCAAAGAATAGCGGAGTCATAGAACTTAATGAAGAACAACCACAAATTCCACTAAGTACCACGGAAAACATACCAGTAGAGACTGGACCATCTAAAACACAACCTCTTCGGAGATCCGAAAGGGTTTCTAGGGCGCCTGAAAGGCTATACCTATTGTCAAAAGACAATGAAGAGGGATTCCTTTTGGATAATGATCCAATAAGCTATGATGAGGCAATGTTGGACATTGACTCAGATAAATGGCAAGAAGCTATGCAATCCGAAATAGATTCCATGTATTCAAACAAAGTATGGACTTTGGTTGATCCACCACAGGGTATTGTACCCATAGGTTGTAAATGGGTTTACAAGCGAAAACGTGGTGTAGATGGAGAAGTAAATACTTTTAAAGCAAGACTGGTTGCTAAAGGTTATACTCAAAAACAAGGTGTTGATTATGAGGAAACTTTTTCACCAGTAGCAATGCTTAAATCTATTCGGATATTGCTAGCCATAGCTGCGTATTATGACTACGAGATATGGCAAATGGATGTGAAAACTGCTTTTCTTAATGGAAATATTAAGGAAGACATTTATATGAAACAACCGCAAGGTTTCATATCCAATGGGAGTGAACAAATGGTTTGTAAACTTCAAAGGTCTATTTATGGACTTAAACAAGCTTCGAGGAGTTGGAATATTCGGTTTGATGAAACGATCAAAACGTTTGATTTTCATAAGAATCCGGATGAACCATGTGTTTATAAGAAGGTTAGTGGGAGTGCAGTTACATTTGTTGTTCTATATGTTGATGACATCCTACTCATTGGGAATGATGTAGGGATGTTGCAGTCAACTAGGACATGGTTGTCAAAACAGTTTTCCATGAAAGACTTGGGAGAAGCATCCTTTATCCTAGGGATAAAAATCTATAGGGATAGATTTAAACGGATGATCGGACTATCCCAGTCGACGTACATAAATAAGGTGCTACAACGGTTTAGCATGGAAGAATCCAAACGAGGATATATTCCAATGAGTCATGGGATTTCTCTTTCTAAGACGATGTCTCCAAAGACACCTGAAGAAAGAGAACGGATGAGTCATATACCTTATGCATCAGCTATTGGTAGCATTATGTATGCAATGTTATGTACAAGACCTGATGTGGCTCATGCACTTAGTGTAACGAGCAGATATCAGTCTAATCCAGGTGAAGAACACTGGAAAGCCGTTAAGATGATTCTTAAGTACTTACGAAGGACTAAGGATATCTTTATGGTATACGGCAATGGAGAACTGAAACTAGAAGGCTTTACTGATTCTGGTTTTCAGTCCGATAAAGACGACTATAAATCCATGTCTGGATACTTATTTACTCTGAATGGAGCAGCAGTTAGTTGGAAAAGTTCCAAACAAGAAACAATTGCTGACTCTACGACAGAGGCTGAATATATTGCTGCATCTGATGCTGCAAAAGAAGCTGTTTGGATAAGGAACTTTATCCAAGGGTTGGGTGTAGTACCATCCGTTGTTGATCCAATAATGATTTATTGTGATAACAATGGGGCTATTGCGCAAGCAAAGGAGCCAAGATCTCATCAAAAATCCAAACACATTATGAGGCGATACCATTTGATTAGAGAAATCATTGGTAGAGGCGATGTCGTGATGGAGCGAGTCGACTCAGCAGAAAATATAGCAGACCCCTTAACTAAACCCTTATCACAGAAAGTGTTCGAAGGACATCTTGAGAAGATGGGTCTTAGATACATGAGTGATTGGAACTAGGGCAAGTGGGAGATTGTTAGAGTAGGGTACCCGGCGTTCCAATCTAATTGGACGTATTCTACTTGTAAATACAGTCTATTGGAATTATATTATGAATAAGGCATTTCTTTATCTTAAGAGAAAGCATTTATCTTATAATTGCACTTAAGATAAAATCCCTAGATCACTTATGGTTATAAGGTATGGTTGCGCATAGAGATGGTGATCATGGAACATACCTTGAAAGCCGTGATCTTAAATACAGTTCCAAGTCGATGGATGTTTCGAGATGGGATATCGAATAATCCATAAAAGACTTGCACATAGTTTGTATGCTTGTTGGACAAGAATGTTGCATTCCATCAACATTAGCGTAAGACGTAAGTACATTTATGTGGGTGCTTGTTAGAGAACAAGTTCACTGAACATGACCGTATGAAAATTCTTAATGAAGAATTTATTCAGTCGAATAAGAATTTTCATGTTACAATAGTACATGACTAATCCTAAGACTTGAGGCACAATGGTAACTTTGTGCATATTACATTCTACTTTGATTTATCCTTTTGGTAGCTAGCACTATCGTTTAAAGGGATAAGTTGGGTATTATGTTAATATGTATGGAAGTTTGTTAGTGGCCAATAAAGGATTCGACACTTATGAAGATAAGTGAATTTCCTATGTGTTTCATAGTTATTAATCCAAAGTCCTTGGCCAAGGCAGAGATGAATAGTGATTCATAACCGGGTTAATAAACATGAAATAGAATCATAGTTATTAAGTCAATTTGGGTTTCGACAAAATCATACCCAAGACTTAATCGGGAAATTAGATGTCGAAAGGATTTTACATGTATGGAGTTGTAATCGGAATAGGTTTACTCGCTATTCACTTAATACTAGATTCATGCTACTTGCTAGGTGTTACCATGATATGTGGGTTCATAAATTAAAGGGTTAATTCATGAATAAGAGTTAATAAGATTTAACTCAAATTACAAAGTGTTGTAAACCCACTACTAGTATTAAGGTGAACCTAAAAGGTCACACTAATTATGAACAAAGGTAAAGATTGTATTTCTAATGGTTAGAATTAATTGATAAATATCTAATTTGATTAGATATCAATTAAAGGAATATATTAATCAATAAGATTGATTAATTACATTTTGGATATTACTTTAGTAATTAAGGTAATTACTAAATTAATAAAGTTGAATTTTAAAATAGGATTTTAAATTTCAAAATCCAAAATAATAATAATATGATTATTATAATATTGGGAAAATCATATAATAATAAAGTCTTGAGAAAGATTCTCAAGATTTATTATTCAATTATTATTTATATCTTTAAATATGATTTAAGGATTAAGATAATAAATATGATTATAATAAAATGGTTGTTGATGGTTGTTTGAACTACTTAACATATCTTATTATTTTCAAAGTCAAAAGTTAGTAAATACTATTTAAATAAAATTTGATTTTATTTAAATATTACTAAATGTTGATTATTTTATGCTAAAATGTTTAGTATAAATATGTGCAAAATGGTTTTGCATTTAGAGAAGTTTTGATCCTAAAATTTCTAAGTGTTAGAAAGAGAGAAGAAAGTGTTCTTCATATAATTCAAGAAAGAGTTCTTGAAAATTCCCAAATAAAAATTCATAAATATTCCTATACAAGAAAACCGAGTCTTTTCTACTAGCGAAGGAAAGTCGTCGGAACCGGGCTTCATAGGGTGGATACGTTTAGAGGGAAGACACTTGGATTCCTAAAGCGAGTAACCTCAAGCCGTTGAAGTTACAACCGGGAACCGATTCCCACAATCCACATCATAGTTGAAGGAGTTCAAGACACTCGGTAAATATTTTTACTAGTATTTATTTTATATTAACAAATCAAAATTTGTATATGATGCATGTTTTAAAGATGACGATCAGTTAATTCGCAATTAGTATGTACGGGTGTTGTATTTATACGATAAATACTTATTTTTAAAATTTTAAATTCCGCTGCGTACAGCCCGTACGGTACTAGCGAACCCAACATCACTCACAATAGCTCGCGGAAATCCAAACCTGCTCAACACATGACCTTGCAAAAACTTGATAACCACAATAGCATCACACGTCCTTGTGGGGATAGCCTCAACCCACTTGGACACGTAATCTACAGCAAGAAGTATATACTCAAAGCCAAAAGACTTGGGAAATGGTCCCATAAAATCAATGCCCCATACATCAAAGATTTCAACTTGAACATTGTTAACTAAGGGCATTTCATTTCTAGAACTAATTTTCCCAATTCTTTGACAACGGTCACAAGATTTACAAAAGTTATGAGCATCTTTAAAGAGAGTAGGCCAAAATAAACCTGATTGGAGAATCTTGAAGGCGGTCTTCCTCCCTCCAAAATGGCCTCCACATTGGAACTCGTGGCAAAAAGCGAGAACATCTGCTTGTTCTTCTTCGGGCACACACCTCCGAAGGATTTCATCTTTTCCCACTTTGAAAAGGAATGGGTCCTCCCAAAAATAACTCCTGCACATCAAAACAAAGCGTTTCCTCTCTTGGGAAGAGAGGTTAGACAACAATATTCCACACGACAAGTAGTTCACAATGTCTGCATACCAAGGAATAGTAGTCACTTCACTAACATGCTCATAAGGAAAATTATCATTCACACCAACACGTTCATGCAATGTAAGTGAAGAATCAGAAGGAGCAATGCGAGACAAGTGATCAGCAACAACATTCTCACATCCTTTTCTATCACGAATTTCTACATCAAACTCTTGCAGCAGTAAAATCCACCGAATAAGTCTAGGTTTCGATTGAGTCTTACTCAAGAGATACCTAAGAGCGGCATTATCAGAATGAACAATCACTTTAGATCCCAAAATGTAAGATCTAAATTTCAAGAGAAAATATTACGGCTAAAAGCTCTTTTTCGGTGGTGGTATAGTTCAATTGGGCGCCGTTTAAGGTCAAACTAGCATAATAAATTACACGAAGTAACTTATCAACTCGTTGACCCAACACAGCTCCAACAGCAAGGTTCGATGCATCACACATAATCTCAAATGGCAAAGACCAATCAGGAGCAATCACAATAGGTGCCGTCACAAGCTTATTTTTCAATTTACCAAAAGCATCTACACATGCGTCATCAAACACGAAAGGCACATCATTAACAAGCAAGTGACACAAAGGCTGGCTTATTTTCGAAAAATCTTTAATAAATCGCCTATAGAAGCCAGCGTGACCCAAAAAACTTCTAACCCCCTTCACATTCACAGGAGGGGGTAATTTTTCAATCACGTCAATTTTTGCCTTGTCCACTTCAATTCCACGACTCGATACCACATGACCTAACACCACACCACTAGTCACCATAAAGTGACTTTTCTCCCAACTCAATGTCAAGTTAGACTCAATACACTTCTCAAGAACACGGGATAAATTATGGAGACAATCTGAAAATGAAGCACCGAAAATAGAGAAGTCATCCATAAATACCTGGAGACAGTCCTCGAGCATATCTGAGAAGATGGAGAACATGCACCTTTGGAAAGTCCCGGGTGCATTGCATAAACCGAATGGCATCCGTCGGAAGGCAAATGTGCCGAATGGGCACGTGAAGGTGGTCTTTGGCTGGTCTTCGGGGGCTATGGCTACTAGGTAGTAGCCGGAGAGTCCATCCAGGAAGCAGTAAAACTGATGGCCCGAGAGACGGTCGAGAATCTGATCGATGAACGGCAACGGAAAATGGTCTTTCTTTGTCACGGCATTGAGGCGCCGATAATCTATGCACATTCTCCACCCGGTAGTGTCACGGCATGGAGGGGCTGATGCCTTTTATGTCTCCAAGGCTCCACCCAATGGCCTTCTGATTCTTTTAGAGCACATCAATTAGCTCATTCTCCTCGTCCCTGTTAAGCTCGGCAAAGATGATGACCGGCTTTTGCTTCTCGTCATCAAGGAAGACGTACTTGAGATGACGGGGCAATTCCTTAAGCTCTAATGCGGGTGGAGTAGGTGCGTGTGGCTCATCAGCTGCGAAAAGCTCAATGATTGGCTCGTCTTCATCGTTGAGGTCGGGCATTGACCTCTCCTCCAAGTCTCGTATAGTCATCGCTTCCACGAACGGGTCACTCACATCAACAAAGGCACATTCCTCCACAAAGTTCACTGAGGAGGAGGATATTGCTTCTCGAACTGAAATAGAAACCGACTCGCCCAAGACCGTCATATTCAATGTCCCGTTCTTCACATCGATGAGGGTGTTGGTAGTGGCCATAAACGGTCTGCCGAGAAGGATTGCGTGATCCTTTCCGTTCTCCTGCACGTCCCCCACATCTAGAACTACGAAGTCCACCGGGACGATAAGTTTCCCAACACGAACCAGGACATCTTCCACTACCCCCTTGGGGTATCTGATAGAACGGTCTGCGAGCTGAAGGCACATGCGGGTTGGCCTCAAGTCTCCTAAGCCGAGCCGCTGAAAGATAGAGAACGGCATGAGGTTGATCCCTGCTCCAAGGTCCAGCATCCCTGAAGCCTCCTTTCCTTTTTCGAGGGCTATTTGAATCACGAAGCCTCCGGGATCTCGTTCTTTCTTCGGAAGGTCATGCTACATAGCACTTGCAGCCTCGTAAACCACTACCTTCTCCCCGTCTCCAAATTTCCTCTTCTTCGTCACTAGGTCTTTGAAGAACTTCACGTACGAGGGCATATTCTTGATCACATCCAGGAGTGGCAGATTGACGTTGACCTTCGAGAGCATGTTGTATAGGTCCCGAAATTGCTGCTCCTGCTTCTCGTCCCGGAGTCGGCTTGGGAAGGGTATGCTTGGTTTGAAAGGGTTTGGTGACTTGTGTAACATTGGGCCATCTGTGTGCTTCCCGGGCTCAACTTCTTTATCCTTCTTCGGGCTCTCCTCTACTCCTTTAGGCTGGTTGGTTGGTGTAAGAATGTCAGGCTCGGGCATTTTCACGTGGTTGTCTACCTCCTTCCCACTTCTCAACACTGTGATGGCTTTGGCTTCTTTAGGCTGGCTAGGTAGCTTCCCCTTGTCTGAATTGGCTTCTATGTTCCCAACTCTTGTAGCAAGCTGGCCCAACTGTGTTTCTAGGCATTTGATAGAAGCATCGGTGTTCACACCCCTTTGTTCACTATTTGCCATAAACTGGAGAATTTTGTCCAGCTTGTCGTCCTGGTCAGCTGAACTGGGGCCAGTCCCTTGTGCTTGCATTCCTCCCATTGGGCCCCTCTGTTGCTGCTACTGTTGAGGATAATTCGGTCTCATCTGGTTTTGGGGAA